CGGATCGATCCCGCTGGGTAAAAGACGATTTTGCCCTTGTATAATAGCCTGGGTGGGTACGGCAGGCCCATCACGAATGGGCCTATACGGGCCGAATGCGGCAGGTGGGCTCTTGGGCCTCTTGTTCCAGCACCGGACGGTTAGGCCCCGTTCGGTTTGGAGTTGAAGAAACCACAGGAATTGCTGAGGATACGTGGGAGCTCTAGTTGGCGCTGTAGGCGCCGGTTCGCGCCGCTGGCGCCCGCGCGGACAGGAACTGGGCCGGCCCAGCAAGCTGCTGAGAAGCAAAAAGCGAGGGAAAAATTTTAGTGTACGAGGTTTATTTGGGAGAAAGAGGGAGTCGAACTCGTAACGCCCAACAAAACGACCACATGGGTCAACCACTGGACCAAAGCTCGGTGTGATGCTCATTTTGGGAAATCATGACTCTTTAATATTTCATACAGTACAAACATTAAACATATACTACTATTATATACCCCCCTATAAATTCTTTGAATAAAGAAAACATAAATTGAAAATGCATTCATATAGACCATGAATTGAAAATAAAAGTTTGCAAATTGGAAAAAGTTAGTGAGTTTGAAAAAAGTTCATCGAATTTGAAAAAAAAGTTCATCAATTTGAAAAAAAGTTCATCAAATTTGAAAAAAGTTCATTGAATTTGAAAAAAGTTCATTGAATTTAAAAAAAGTTCATCAAACTTGAAAAAAGTTCATCGAATTTGGAAAAAAGTTCATCCAATTTGAAAAAAGTTCATCAAATTTGAAAAAAAGTTCATCAAATTTCAAAAAAGTTTATCAAATTTCAAAAAAAGTTCAGTGAATTTAATAAAGTTCATCGAATTTCAAAAAAGTTCACCGAATTTCAAAAAAGTTCATCGAATTTGAAAAAAAATTCACGTATTTAAAAATAATTTCACGAATTAGAAAAATCACGTAATAAAGAAAACAAAAAAGGTGAGAGAAAAAGAATAAGAATAAACCAAATTGAAAATGAGAATAAAAGAAAAAAATGCACTGTATTTACACTCGCGGGCGGATAGCGTGGTGGCTATAGCCGATCGCTAGCAATGAACCGATGCGAGTTCGAATCCCCCTCCCCGCACTCTTGAAAGAGAAAGAATGGGCCGGCCCAGCTTGGACTGCTGCAGGCGCCCGTTTGCAAATTGCACTGTAACGGGCGCTGCGGCCAAATAGGAATTCCCAGGATACATGAACACTACATGAATATAATGCTAAAACATAGGAACCAGAAATTCTGAGAAAGATCTGGGATTTGGCATTCGGCTTGCAGGAAGAGAAACAAAGGAATGTGTGGACCCTAGTCACAACGGATGGTGCAAAAACTCATTTTTTATTCTTGTAGATGTCACTTCATGTAGCTGTGGGGCTTAAGACCGAGTCAGCAGAGACACGTACATTGGCTTTCCTTTGCATTGCCTCGGGACTCCGCCCAGAAAAAGAGAATCAGGTGGATTCTTTTTTTCCTGTGAATCTGAGGGCTATCGAGCCGTTCCTCTGGAATCTCTCCCTTCCAATCCTTCACACCGAACGTCCCTTTTGTGAAACTTCCCCCGGGTTTTGGATTCCTGCAGTTTCCTTGTGAAATTCCTATGTACCGAACGCACCCTTAGTTTTTTTCTCTCGATTCTTGTCTCAGATTTCCGCAGATAAAGCCCGACAATTTCCCGCATATTCTTTTTGAACATGCTCTTAGAGAGACTAATAGTGCTGCCAATAATTTAAGTCAAACTAAGTAGAAGTAAAGTGTGTGCGGTGTGGATGGAAGATCCACACGTACATATTGTTGATACTCTTGTAAAATATTCTATGGTGATCATCTTGCAATAAAGAGTACTTTGATGTCAAAAAAATTCGACTGTACATAAGGGCGTCACCAAAGCTGACCCTCGAACTGCTTGCAACCGTCCGTACTGTACAGTCCGGACGTTTTTTGGTCATCCAAAGCGGGCTTGTATATGTCTGCAGGGTGGTCCTTTTTCCCAC